CTGGAGCTGCAGTCCCGGCTGTGGGACTGGAGCTGCAGTCCCGGCTGTGGGACTGGAGCTGCAGTCCCGGCTGTGGGACTGGAGCTGCAGTCCCGGGTGTGGGACTGGAGCTGCAGTCCCGGGTGTGGGACTGGAGCTGCAGTCCCGGGTGTGGGACTGGAGCTGCAGTCCCGGGTGTGGGACTGGAGCTGCAGTCCCGGGTGTGGGACTGGAGCTGCAGTCCCGGCTGTGGGACTGGAGCTGCAGTCCCGGGTGTGGGACTGGAGCTGCAGTCCCGGGTGTGGGACTGGAGCTGCAGTCCCGGCTCATCCAAATCTCCCTCCCAGTCCCAGACACCCCTATCCCCTTTACATCTCCCTCTCAGGTATCCCCTTTTCCCTCAACTCTCCAAGCTCAGGCGGAGGCGGAGCTGCTGGCAGCGCTGGTGGCGTTTTTCACACGCGGGGGGTTCTCGAGAATCCTCAACAGGAATGCCCCTTCTTCCCCTCTCCCTCCCTCTCCCACCCTCCCTCCCCATCCCCCCTCTATCAGGTGGAGGCTGAGCTGCTGGCAGCGGTGGTGGTGGTGGCGTGCTTCACACGCGTGGGGCCCTTGAGATCGCCATACAAATACCAACTTCTCCTCATCTCCCTTCTCACTGCTGCCTTCCTCACACCCCACCTCTCACCCTCCCCCCTCAACCAGGCGGAGTCAGAGCTGCTGGCAGCAGTTGTGGCGTTCTTCACACGCATGGTTCTCTTGAGATTTCCAATGAAATACCTTCTTGTTCCGCACTCCCTACCTCTCCCACTCCCCCTCTCCCCTGTGAGCGAGCAGGCGGAGGCAGAGCTGCTGGCAGCGGTGGTGGCCTTCTTCACACGCGTGGGGCTCTCCTCCAAGGACGTTGGTATCCGCGTCTCCAACCGCAAGGTACCGCTCTGCACCCTTTTCCTTCACCATGCAAGCCAAAGCACACCCCTACCCTCTGAGCATTACATCCCCCCACCGGCAGGGCGGGCCCTGCCATCTGGCCACCTCTTGTCACCGTTCCAAACCACTTTTCACTCACTACACATGTCTGCTTGTCTTAAATGCGGAGAACTCACCTGTGTGCCACACTACTCCCGCCCTTTGCTTGCTCCTGCTCCTCGCTCCTCCCAACCCTGGCAGGTGCTGCAAGAGGTGGTGGAGGGCAGTGGTGTGCCCGCTGACAAGTTCGCAGCAGTCTGTGTCGTGGTGGACAAGGTCAGTGCAGAGTATATTCCTTCCACACATTCGAAGCTCCCTTTCCCGTGCGCCAGCAGACTCGCTTCCACCATCCACCACACCTCCTTGTTGCCTCCGGCCATGTCTCATGTCTCCGCCTGTGTTCCCCACCCTGTCATCCCTCATCCCATGGGAGTGCGGCAGAGGGACAAGATCGGGGAGGGGGCAGTGGGGAAGGAGCTAGCGGAGTTGGGCGTGGGGGAGGCGGCAGCACAGGCTATCCTGAGCACCATGAAGATCACATCGCTAGCGCAGCTCAGAGGTGCGCCAGCAGACTTAGTCTTAGAACGCTTGTGGATCTTCCTGCCCCATCTCATCCATTGTTGTCACTCCTCACCTCCACTCCCCTCTCCCCTTTTCCTCCCCTTGCGACCGCACCCTCATACTCATCTCTTTCCCACCCTTCCGAATTGCCTACCACCATCACCTGCCATGCGGATGTGACATGCTGTGGTGCAGAGCACATGGCGGCCAGTGGGGGGCAGGAGGGCGGCAGTGCAGCGGTGGCTGACTTGGAGCGGCTCTTCTCCCTCGCGGAGGCACATGGCTTTGCCGAGTGGCTGGAGTTTGATGCCTCTGTAGTGCGCGGCCTCGCTTACTACACTGGCACCGTCTTTGAGGTACCTTCCATCCCATCCCTCACTACTTGTTTGAATGGTTCAATGGTGTTTGAGGACTGTTCAATTTCACACCATTGTTCACCAACCAGCATCTCCTTTTGTTTGATCACTCACATGCCATATGTTCATATGCTCCTTACCATCCACCCATGCGAGCACGGGCAGGCGTTTGACAGGGCAGGGGAGCTGAGGGCCATCTGTGGAGGGGGGCGGTACGACCGCCTGCTCTCCACCTTTGGGGCTGCCTCCGACACTCCCGCCTGCGGCTTTGGCTTTGGGGATGCCGTCATTGTCGAGGTGAGGCAGGCTGCATCTGCGTAGGGAAGGAGGCTGCTGCACACCATACATTCTAAACAAGATTCTAGGATTACAACTAGGTATGTTTGCCGTTTGTGGTTGTTTGTCTTCACCGATCAAATGCTCCCTCTCATTCATGTCCATATTGGCCCATTGCAAAACAATGGGTTTTGTCGTTGCCCATCTCTTCCCTTTCTGCCATCTCTTTACTTTCCCCACCACAGCTTTTGAAACAAAGGGGTCTTCTGCCATCGCTCCAACAAACAGTTGATGACATCGTCGTTCCTCTCGACGAATCACTAAATGGTGCTGCTGCATCGGTGGCAGCACGATTGCGGCAGAAGGGCAGGCGGGTTGACTTGGTGCTTGAGAACAAACGGCTGAAATGGTATGAGTGAGGCTCTGTACATATGCCAATCAAACCGCTTTCCGTTCAGGCACCCTCGTTGATATGCTTATTGGACATTCCACAATAAAACACTCCCTTTCCTCCCCTGTCATTTACTACTTCCAGGGCGTTCAAGCAGGCAGAGAGAGTCAACGCGTCAAGGATGATCATCCTGGGTTCATCAGAGTGGGAACGGGGGGTTGTCAAAGTGAAGGACCTTGCTGCGAGGGAGGAGGTGGAAGTTTTGATAGCAGATGTTGCATAAAGACCTTCGGTACTTGTGGCCGCCTTCAGTAATCATGATATTGTTTCCCAAGCAACATGCTTTTCCAGCAATTTTGGGAAGGCAAGATATTAGTTTAGTGATAATTACAGGTGGGTGTGCAAATTCGACAGGGTCAACAAAATTGCTGGGCAGAACGGAGAGACCAGGTGACGAGGATATTTTCCAGCATTGCAAGATGCACGGACACCCTTGCGCCACCTCAGACTGTGGTCAAGCCTTAGTGGCCCACGTCATGTGGCCCATCAATGAATTATTTCGCTGTGTCGTCCAATAGAATCTCTAGCGCAACAGTGAGAAATATTCGCGTCGCGCTAGTCTCGTAGGCTAGTTGCTGAATGCGCTCTGTTTATTGGCTTGCTTACCGGAAATCAAGGCTCCGAAAGGAAAAACTTTGGCGGTGTCCACTTCCGCCGAGCCAGATTCGATCGGTAGAGGTGAGGGGTCATGGCGGGCGGGATGGGGGAATTGGGGTTTCTGGGGAGTGACCTGACCACTTTGCTTGCGGGGGGAACATGTGCTGTGGTGGACTGCTTCCGTAGCTGCGCGAATCGTAGCTGTTGCCCTCCCGCCACTTTTCAGACCTTGATCTGTACAACTTGTCTTCCTCCGATTTGTGAAAGGCTCCTGTTTTGATCTAAACCGTTCGTAGCTTTTTCTCTTGGTTTTCATCAAGCCTTTCAAACGGCGAAATCACGCGCATCGGCGGAAATCGCGTTTGTCTCAAAAGAATCGACCCAAATTGCTCACACTTCGCCACGTGGGCGTTTTTCTCAATTGATTCGACCCCCTTTCCCCCCGCCCCCCCAACCCGTTTCTCCCGCCCTTCCTCTCCGAAATTTGGGCACCCGCTGGAATTTCGTGAAATCACAAAAAGTCACGAATACATGCTTTTTCGTAACGCAAAGATTTCAACATGCGAGCGACACCTGATTGGACAGTACACCTATGACTTTTAATGACAACTAATCAGTATGGATTTCATTAATTATGTGCCACTGCAGTAACATATTTTTTTGAATCTTTGTAATATTAGTATCATATTTTTTTTCTAAATAATATAAATCAGAAAAAAATCAAAAAAAAATATCTACCTAGTTCAAAATATTTTTAAATTTGCCATGGAATGATTATTATTACAAATTTATGAAATTTTACTCTTAGTTTTTTATGTTTTTTTGGCATAAGTTCTATGTAGATTAAAAAAACATAAAAAGACTATATGCTATTTGTCATATGTTTTTTTGCGCCCCTATCTATATTAATGACATGAGCTAATCCAAAAAATTATGATACAATCAACGTGCATATGAGCCTCCTGAGATTGAGAAGCAACCGCCGAAATTATCAATTGCGAAAGCTGATGTGGCATGCCACAACTACATGGTGGATTTGGCATGATGTAGGGAGCACGTATTCGTGACTGTTTGTGATTCTATAAAATTTTAGCGGGTGCCCAAATTTCGGAGGGAAAGGGCGGGAAAAACGGGTTGGGGGGGGGCGGGGGAAAAGGGGGTCGATTCAATTGAGAAAAACGCCCACGTGGCGAAGTGTGAGCAATTTGGGTCGATTCTTTTGAGACAAACGCGATTTCCGCCGATGCGCGCGATTTTGCCCTTTCAAACCGATCATCACCATCCCAGCATCCGAGCCTCCCAGGGTCGCGAATTCACTCTCGTCGTAGGCGTGGATTCCGCCAAACAGAAGCCGCTGTCGCACGCCCCGAGAACAACCTCCACGTAACCCCCTCGGTCGTGGTGCCCCCACCATGTCTCCCTCCCGATCGCAGAGATCGTGAAGGCCTCGCGAACGGCGACCATTGTGTTGTCGAGCAGGCAACATACCACATCATACTTCTTACGAGTGTCGTGATTGTGGTTACCTCGTAAAAGACCACCAAAACTGTTCGTCAGGATGTTTCACACCCCCAAGTGATCCACTGATGCACGAGATTGGGTCACCATTCTGATCCTTCTACCACTCCCAGGCTCCCCCCACCACCACCATCTCTCCTCGCCTCTACTTCAACCTCCCTCCTCTATTTTACCTCCATTCCAGACTGAGGCGCTGGTGCATTGTTTCTTCAGCGGCTCTGAAGTGGGACAGCTATTGCTGGACTCTGCCCGTGGTACTCTTCTAGGTGCAGAGATCACAGCAGTAAATCATCATGGTGCGTGTATTAGCGATGCGGACTAGCATTCCGTGTAGCCTGGTAAGATTTGTGCAGTCTGTTATTGAGCTGACGGTACGGAGTCCTGCCTTGTGTTTATTCAGGGTCGTGGTGGTTGTGAAGGTGAAGTCACCAAGGCCCGTGTCGCAGCCGTGGAGACCGTCGCCAGCAATGCCGGCGGGCTCACGAAGAGATCAGTCGCCGGATCCAACGGTAATGCGGCGAAGCAGTTCACCATGGACGAGGTGTCCAAGCACAACCGCCCAGGGGACGCCTGGGTGGTCGTCCAAAACAAGGTCCGACTCGAATCCGCAACTGTCTTGATCCATCCTAGTCCCGATTCCGCTCGTCCGGATTCTGTCTTGGTTTCAGTTCATTCATCATTCTGTCTGATCTGGACACTATTTATCCCGTGCCGGTGGATCATGCAGGTGTACGATGTGAGCGACTTCGCCGATCGGCATCCAGGCGGGCGCGTGATCTACTCGCTGGCGGGTCGCAACGCCACGGACGTGTTCGCCGCCTTCCACAAGCCCTCCACCACGGCGTTCCTCGCCACGCTGAAAATCGGCGAGCTCAAGGTACCCCCCGATTTGATTGCGATAGAAGCGATGTAGTTCATCGGATGAACCACAGTCGTCCAGCAATAACCACCAAAGTGAACGTCAGTTGCGCTAGTGTTTGTAGTCTCCTCATAATACGTGAAACCGAAGTCCTACCCGTTATGCAAAATCTGCACAGTGAAGGATAGCTTAGTACCTTTCTAGCATTTTCCCATCAGACTTATGACGATTTGGGAGCCATACGGCATATCTCTAAACACGAAGGCTTCTCGGTTGCTTGCCGCTTCGTCCGCTACAGGACAGCGAGGTCGAGCCGACGGGCGATCTGCTGAAGGACTTCCGCGATCTGCGGGCGTCGTTCGAGGCCAAGGGTTACTTCAAGAGCAGCCCGGCGTACTACGTGTTTAAGGTGCTGTCCACGTTCGCCATTGTCGCCGCCAGCCTCGCCATCATCATGTGGACCTCCGACCCGCGCTGGGTGCTCTTCTCCGCCTTGCTTCTCGGCCTCTACTGGCAACAAGTCGGCTGGCTCTCGCACGACTTCCTTCACCACCAGGTCAGCACCTCGCGCACCCTTCCCGCTGAGAGTCGTTAAACAGCAATCTGGGAGACACGCATGCAGCACATACGCAGCGCGGTATTACTGATTGTATATACCGTCACCTGGCTGTGACTGACATAAATTCTTCGCGTGGCTCGCGCAGGTGTTCCAATCGCGGTTCCTGAACACGTTCATCGGCGGGTACATCCACGGCAACCTGGCGATGGGCTTCAGCACCAACTGGTGGAAGAACAAACACAACACGCACCACGCCGTGCCCAACGAGTGCGACAAGGAGTACCGCCCGATTGATCCTGATATTGACACTCTGCCGTACCTGGCGTGGAGCGAGGACATTCTCGCGACCGTCAAGAGCAAGACCGTGCGCTCGCTGCTGCGCTACCAGAGCCCGCTCTTCTTCCCCATCCTCTCCTTCGCCCGCTTCGCATGGTACGTCGCACCGCGCATTACCTCGCAAGGCCGCGCGTCACACTATCTTTCAGCCCGCCACACTCCCCTTAAGTATTTCCCGCCTCTGGGATTAGCTTGACGCGTAGCATCCCAACTATGTCCCCCGTCGTCCCGCCGTACAGGTCGTACGCGAGCCTGACTTACTGCTTCTCAGACGAGGTGCCCGAGAAGGAGCGCTTCTGGGAGCGGCTGTTCATGGTGCTGCACTACGCGTGGGTGCTCGGGTTCGGGTTCGGCTGCCTGCCGTTCTGGACGGCCGTCATGTGGATGCTGACGGGGCAGATCTGCGGCGGGCTGTTCCTGGCGGTGGTGTTCGTGCAGAGCCACAACGCCATGGAGATCTACAACGAGGGCAAGGACTTCTACACCGCCCAGGTGCGTCGCATTGGAAAAGCATGGATTAGTTCACTTGAGGAAGGTGGCGAAAGGACAAGCATGGCTGGGAGCAGTTCTGCTGGGAAGAAATGTTTAGATCCTATCGTAATATGGTCGTCACGCGAGTCTTTGGATCTAAACAAGCCAACCTTGACTGTGCGGTGCAACTGCGTCTCACCTTCACCCACCATTTCCCCTTTCAAAACCTCTTCAGATTGTGACCACGCGCGACGTGAACGGTGGCCTCTTCAATGACTGGTTCACAGGTGGGCTGAACAGGCAGCTGGAGCACCACCTGTTCCCCACCATGCCGCGCCACCACCTGGGCAAGACATGCAAGGCAGTGAAGGAGCTGTGCGAGAAGCACGGGCTTGTCTATGAGGATGTGTCTTTTGCCAAGGGCACGTCGCTCGTGCTCCAGCATCTCAGCAGAATTGCAGAGAAGGCATGATGCGTTGCCCTTTTTATGAAACACCACATTGGGCTTAGAACTTTACAACGCCTGTGTTGCACACATGGTGGGCCCATGCAGAATTTTACAAACCTGCCCTAGAGAAAATCATCTGTGTGTCTAGGGAAGTGATCTGTATGTCTAGAGAAAATCATCTGTATTTAGTGAGCAACAACTCCCTGCTCTTGTGCTGGCTATTAATTTGCCAACACTGATCTACCTTTGCATTGAACAACCTTATCATGTATCATACAGTTTAGAAAAAATGGTACAAACAGGCCTGCAGGTATTAGCGTAAACAGCTGGTATGCAACCAATACACCTCGACTAAAAAATCTAACCAACATGTTTGAAAAGCCACCAGTACAGAAGTGGGAAATGACAAGGTATGCCCCATAGACTGCCCCCCAGGACAATACTGTGCTCTTGTTGGTTGCGTTGGTTCTCCATGACACATTTGCCTTGTCTGCCCCTAAACCCTATCCGACTGGCTGAGTGTGGCTGTCACCCAGACTGGACATGCATTTGGACCTGAACGATGATGTATGCTTCTGCTGAGTGATTTTTTTTTCTTGGTCAGGTTCCGATTGTCAAACATGTATGCTGCATATTGTCTAGGCTGTAGTGGGGTAGCCCATATGGAGTACAACCAAATTAGGGTTTCCTACTTGTACTCCTGCATGCTGTTAGTTCATCATTCCTGCTGCCAGATTCTAACATGGTATCAGAGCACTAAGGTCCGTAGGACCGTTTTTTTCGGGCCCACCTACCACTGCGGTTACCGCGCTACCCCACGTACCTGCCTGCCTTGCCTTGCCTTGTGACGTGCTGCACTACGCGAGCCGTCCAGCAGCCCTAGCGCTGCCTCCTGCTGCCCTAGGCCAGCGCGCTGCCCCTAGAGGCCCGTAAGGCCCGCGCGCCGCCCCTACACGCCCTCCAGGCCTGCGCAGCCCGCACCGAGCCGCGCGCAGCCCGCTGCTACCGCGAGCTGCCCGCACCGAGCCCGCGCAGCCCGCACCGAGCCGCGCGCAGCCCGCACAGAGCCCGCGCAGCCTGCTGCAGCCGCGCGCAGCCCGCACCGAGCCGCGCGCAGCCCGCTGCAGCCGCGCGCAGCCCGCGTTTACCGAGCCGCGCGCAGCCCGCTGCAGCCGCGCGCAGCCCGCACCGAGCCGCGCGCAGCCCGCTTCGGTAGCGCGCAGCCCGCACAGAGCCGCGCGCAGCCCGCTACAGCCGCGCGCATCCCGCGCCGAGCCCACGCAGCCCGCGTCGAGCCGCGCGCGGCCTACTCCTGCCTCGCGAGGCCCGCGCGCCGCCCGCAGCAGCCCGCGCGCGGCACGCAGCAGCCCGCGCCGAGCCGCGCGCGTCCCTCTGCCTCGGCCCCGACCTGCCGCTGATACGGCCCCGCTCTGCAGCTGCCACGGCCCCGACCTGCCGCTGAAGCGGCCCCGCCCTGCAGCTGCTTCGGCCCTACTCTGCACCGGGTGTTGCGGCCCCGACGTCGCCGCTGTCGTGCGCCTACTCGGCCGCCGCCCGTTGAGCGCCGGCCCTGCTCGCCCGGCGAGCGCCTGCTCTTCCAGCCTTTGGTGAGCGCCTGCCTGCCTGCCTGCCGGCCTGCCTGTCTGCTTGCCTGCCTGCCGGCCTGCCTGCCTGCCTGCCTGCCTGCCTGCCTGCCTGCCTACCGGCCTGCCTGCCTGCCTGCCTGCCTGCCGGCCTGTCTGCCTGCCTGCCAGCCTGCCGGCCTGCCTGTCTGCTTGCCTGCCTGCCGGCCTGCCTGCCTGCCCGCCTGCCTGCCGGCCTGCCTGCCTGCCTGCCTGCCTGCCTGCCTGCCTACCTACCGGCCTGCCTGCCTGCCTGCCTGCCTGCCTGCCTGCCTGCCTACCTACCGGCCTGCCTGCCTGCCTGCCTGCTTGCCTGCCTGCCTGCCTGCCTGCCTGCCTGCCTGCCTGCCTGCCGGCCTGTCTGTCTGTCTGCCTGCCGGCCTGCCTGCCTGTCGGCCTGCCGCGCCTGCCCTGCCCGCGCTGCTGCTGCTGCTACTGCTACTGGCCGGTGGCCAGATGCAGCCCCAGCGACGTTCACGTGAGTCTCTCACGCCCCAGCAGCTTAGTGAGTGGTATACTAGCTGGGGTTGTCGCGGTAGCAGTCGTAGCTGTCCCCCTGGAGCTGGTCAGTTGGGAGCGTCTGGCAGTGGCCAGCTGCAGCTGCAGCGGCGTCCTCGCGAGACACTTACGTCCCGGCAGCTCCACGAGTGGTACGCTCAGTGTAGCAGGTCTACACGTACAGTTCGCTGCCAGTACGTCATTCGCACAGGTGATCGGGTTGGTCAGCCTTGCGATACGCTTGGTCACACACAGTCCCGCTGCTTCGCCCGTCTGAGCGACGACTGGCGTACAGTGTTTGGCGACGAGGCTGAGCTCCCCGACTGGCTGGAGCTGCTTGGACGGAGGGTAGATATCTTTGCTCCTGACTATGATGCTATTCTCACTGCCATGTATGCATTGCCTACTAGTGTTGACCGTGCCTGTTCCCTGTGCGTCCCGCCTGACCCTGGTATAGCGCCTGCTGCTCCCGGTACTGGTGAGGCTGCTGCCCTAGGTGCTCGTGCGTCTCCTCCTCTGGGTACTGGTGAGGCTGCTGCTCTAGGTGCCGGTACGTCTCCTGCTCCAGGTGCTGGTGAGTCTGCTCTCTCTGGGTCTGCGCCTGCTGCGGCCTTGTACACCTTCACGCTTGACTCAGGTGCTTCCCGCTCCTTCTTTCGCGACTGTACCACACTCACGCCGCTTAGTCGGCCGGTTCCAGTCTCCCTGGCGGACCCCTCCGGGGGTCCGGTCCTTGCCCACTACTCCACGGTTCTACCGTGTCCGGCCGCCCCGTCTGGCTTGCTGTCAGGTCTTTACCTCCCCTCGTTCTCTACGAACTTGGTGAGTGGAGCTGACCTCCAGGATAGGGGGGTGCACCAGTTCACTCCTGCGAGTCAGCGAGTGACTCACTGTACGTGTGCTCGGACCGGCCGACACCTGGCCACGTTTTCCCGTGCGCCTGGCTCGAGTCTGTACACCCTGACCACTGAGTCCCCTCAGGTAGCTGCGTCTGCGTCTGCGTCAGGTCAGCCGACGGCCCCCTGCGAGTGTCGCGCTTTGTCGCACCAGACCCTCCTGTGGCACCACCGCCTTGGTCACCCCTCGGTGCAGCGCCTTCGTGGCATGCACTCTCGCTTCCTGGTTTCTGGTCTTCCCAGGTCTTTGCCTGCCCTGCCTCCCTCGCTTGCGCCGCCCTGCATTCCTTGCGTCGAGGGGCGGCAGCGCGCCGCTCCTCACTCCTCCTCGTTCCCTCCCACAGAGGCTCCCCTGCAGACTCTCCACCTGGACGTGTGGGGCCCCGCCCGCGTCCGTGGACAGGGCCACGAGCGGTACTTCCTGCTGGTTGTTGACGACTACACGCGTTACACCACGGTCTTTCCCCTGCGCAGCAAGGGGGAGGTCCCTGCTGTTTTGATCCCTTGGATCCGCGCTGCCCGTCTCCAGCTCCGCGAGCGGTTTGGGACGGAGTTTCCCGTCCTGCGTCTGCACTCTGACAGAGGTGGTGAGTTCTCCTCAGACCTCTTGGCAGCCTTCTGTGCGGAGCACGGCATCACCCAGTCGTTCACGCTTCCGGACTCTCCGCAGCAGAATGGGGTTGCTGAGCGCCGCATTGGCTTAGTCATGGAGGTCGCTCGTACCTCCATGATCCATGCGGCTGCCCCCCATTTTCTGTGGCCGTTTGCGGTCCGGTACGCCGCGCATCAGCTCAACCTCTGGCCCCGTGTCTCCTTGCCGGAGACCTCGCCCACACTGCTGTGGACGGGGAAGGTTGGCGATGCGTCGCGTTTCCGGGTCTGGGGTGCTCATGCCTTTGTCCGCGATACCACTGCGGACAAGCTCTCCGCCCGTGCAGTTCCCTGTGTCTTCCTTGGCTTTGTCCCTGACGCGCCTGGTTGGCAGTTTTACCACCCCACCTCGCACCGTGTCTTTGCGTCTCAGGACGTCACGTTCGATGAGTCGGTTCCCTTTTACCGTCTCTTCCCCTACCGCACTGCCCCTCTCCCTCCCCCGCCGCTCTTCCTCGCTCCGGGTGCTCCCCAGGTAGACCCCCTCCCCGCTCCCGGTCCTGCTCCTTCAGGTGTGTCTCAGGTAGACCCTCCTCCCTTCCCTGCGCCGGTCGAGGTCACTGGTGACTCAGGTCCTACTGGGGGTGGTCCTGCTCGGGGTGCTACTTCTGGGGGTGCTGAGCCTGGGGGTGCGGAGCTTGAGCGTATGGAGCCTGGAGGTGCTGAGCCTGCGTGTGAGGGGTCTGGAGGTGCTGGAGCTAGTGGTTCTGGGGCTGCTGAGGGTGCGGGCGCTGGAGGTTCTGGAGCTGCTGGAGGTCCTGGTGCTGGTGGCGCTGGAGCTGGTGGTTCTGGGGCTGCTGAGGGTGCGAGCGCTGGAGGTTCTGGAGCTGCTGGAGGTCCTGGTGCTGGTGGCGCTGGAGCTGCTGAGGGTGCTGGCGCTGAGGGTTCAGAGTCTGCTGTTGCGCGGTCTCCTTGGAGTAGCCGCCTTTGTCCACGTGTGCCTCTCACCTCACAGCAGCTGCACGACTGGTACGGTCACCGTCAGGGTCGCGCTGCTGGAGCCCGGGGCTCTACTGCTGGAGGTACTTCTGCTGACGTCCCTGGAGCTAGGAGTGGTGCTGGTACTTTGTCTACTGGAGGTGCTGGAGTCGCTGGTCCCGGAGGTGCTCGTACTGGAGGTACTGGAGCTGCTGGGGCTGGGGGTGCTGCGTCTGGAGGTGCTGCTGCTGGAGACACCGAGGCTGGAGACCCTGGGACTGGAGGTGCTGGTTCTGGGGGTGCTGCTGCTGGAGACGTGGAGGCTGGAGACCCTGGGACTGGAGGTGCTGGTTCTGGGGGTGCTGCTGCTGGAGGCACTGGGGTTGGAGACCCTGGGCCTGGAGGTGTCGGTTCTGCTGCTGGAGCTTCTGGAGCTGCT